TAGAATGCGTACGATACAGTTCCTATAAACAAACTCTAGAACGTGTTACGACAGACCTTAATAAAAGCCTTAAGAAATTTGTATGAAGGGTCAACATTACAAACAAAAAATGGAAGACTATCTCAAAGCTTCCTGGTTAATAAAGGTCTACGTCAGGGGTGTTGTGTATCACCGAACTTGATTAAAATATATGTTACAAAAGCATTGAAAGAGTGGAAACGAAAATGCAGAGGCATACGCGTAAACCTTGAAAAGATTTGCTTGTATACATTGCAGTTTGCTGATGACCAGGTTGTTATAGCAAACGATAAAGATGATCTGGAGTACACGGCAAGGAAATGACAAGAAGAATATAGAAAGTGGGCACTAAAAATTAATATAGAAAAAAACAAAATACCTGCCAATAGGTACCGAACTATCGAACATCACATTAGAAAATAACGAAATCATCATGCCCTGCGACCATTACACATACCTAGGAATCATTTTTGACACAACGGGGAAAGATGATGAAGAAATAAAGAGAAGAATAACACAATCCAGAAAAACCATAGGTTGTCTAAACAGCGTACTGTGGAGTCATGAAATAGGAAAAAGAAGAAAACGCAATATCTACGAATCTCTTATTAAAAGCAGTCTATTGTACGAAGCGGAAACTTGGCGAATAACCGAAAACGACAAAAGAAAACTAAAGGCAGTAGAAATGGACGCTTTTAGAAGATCAGTAGGAGTGTAACGCAAAGAGAGAATACGTAATGATGAGATAAGACAGCGAATGGGGGTTGACCGCTCTCTAACAACATACATGGAAAGAAAACAGCTGATATGGTACGGACACGTCCAGAGGATGGACAACTCAAGACTTACAAAAATAATTATGCAATAGGTACCACCAAACCGCAGAAAAAGAGGAAGACCCAAGAAATCTTAGAAAGGGAGTAACGAAGGCAATGAGCGCAAAAGATCTTAGAGAGGGCCAATGGGATGATCGAGTGACCGGCATCATACAACATTTTAAAACCGATTGATATATACATATATATATATATATATATATATATATATATATATATATATATATATATATATATATATATATATATATATATATGTATATATATATATATATATATATATATATATATATATATATGTATATATATATATATATATATATATATATATATATATATATATATATATGTATATTGTAGTTTTGAGTTTCTTGAACCGTATTATATTTAATATAAAATTAATATTTCTAGGGTTTAGGTTCAATAAAGATATGTTACATGTGGAACTAGATTTTATTTTCCATTGCAATCAATCAACGTTTCGGCAGGAAACCCTTGCCTTTGTCAAGATTCTAAAATGTGTATATATATATATATATATATATATATATATATATATATATAGAATATATATATAAGGATAAACAGATATTGTAAAATATGTTTATATATATATGACTTACCAAAACGTAAAACGTGACACAGACATTAACGAACTGACATATAAAAGTTGATATCTGATATCTCATTGTTTACTGTCATTAGTATATAATTATTTTTATATGGGCGTATCGTTGATGTTTTTGAAAAAGGTAAGGTGGAGATATGTTATGACTTTAAGAGCTTTTATGATGTTATATTGTTATTGTTTAAATCAGATTGAAATATATTTTATTTAGGTTTTGTGTATCTTTTTTGTCATTTATTGCGTTGGTGTTTCTTTTTATTTCTATTGATTCGTATATCTCCCTTTTCTTTTTGTTTTTTTCTGTTTTTAAAATTTTGATGTTTTCAAAGTCAAATTTATGCTTCTTCCCGCTTTCATGTTTTGTGAGCGCAGTGACGTTGTTCTTGTCGTATTTGTGAGAACGAATTCTGGATTGAAGCAGTTGACTGGTTTGACCGATATAGACACCTTCACAGTTTGTACATGGTATCTCGTAAACAACATGTGATTTTAAGTTTTGGAGTTTGTGTTTTTAGTTTTGTGAAGTATTTATTTAAGAGGTTGTTGCCTTTGTGGGCCACTGTTATATTATGTTTGGCTAAAAGATTTGTTAGTTGTTCGGATAAACCTTTTATATATGAAAGAGTTGTATAAGTGGTTTTGATACTGTTGGGTTTGTTGTTAGTTGTATTGTTATAAAATTTATTCAGTCTTGATTTGAAAATAGTTTCGATTAGATGTTCGGGATATGCATTCTTTAGAAGGGCATTTTTTGCTTTTTTTATTGCAGTTGGTCTGTATTCTGGATCTGTTAGTGTTATAGATTTATCAGCGAGACTTATAATTACAGACTTCTTATGGGAAAATGGATGATGGGAATTGTGGTTAAGATATCGTGAAGACCATGTTTCTTTTGTAAACCACATGGTTTTAACTGTGTTGTTAATGCGATGTAAGGTGATATCCAGAAAGTTTATTTCACTATAGAAATTGAACAAAATAATAAAATAAACTTGAGAATCTTGACAAAGGCAAGGGTTTTCTGCCGAAACGTTGATTGATTGCAATGGAAAATAAAATCTAGTTCCACATGTAACATATCTTTATTGAACCTAAACCCAAGAAATATCAATTTTATATTATATATATATATATATATATATATAAGAGTAAGAAAAAAGAAGTACTTGTGACTCGTTTGGAAAAAATATAACACTGTTTTTGATGGGTTGGAGTCAATAAAAGGGGCTATTTGTTGACTATTTTTTACTCGAGCTTTCAATTGTGATTACAATTTTTATCAAGAGCTTCTAAAACATACAAAATGTCTTACAAAGTTGAACTAGAAATAAAAAATTTTTTGTTAACTTACCAAATAAAATTAGTTTATTATATAAAACTACTGCTTACATAATAAATACAAAAAATATTAATAAAAAAATGCCTTATTCCAATAAATGTTTCTCTGAAAAATTTAGATGAAGTTTCTTAAGAAAAAATTGAATTTATAAACAAAAATAGAATAGCTACAACCAGCCTAAAATGACATAAATACTAACTTAAAAATTTTTATTTTTGACATATTGTCAAAAATAAAATTTTGTTTAAAAAATTCTTCTTTGTTAAGTAACAAAAAAGAAGAAGATTTATTCACCATTGATAGATGCCCGAAAAAATGTAACAAATACATGGAAAATTCAAAATGTGATATTTTACTGACTGCATAAATTAAATAGAAATTATATAATTATAAATTTTGCTTAAATTTTGAATTTCTGACCTTTTGTTTAAATTATTATCACTTTTGCTAATACAAACCATTTCCAAAAAAGTTCTTTTAAATTTATTACTTTCATTACATAAAATTTTACTATTATCAAAATCCATAATATGGTCTTTGTCTATTACATGCTCTGCCAAAGCACATAATTCATTGTAGAATTAAGAAACCATGTTGTGCTTTGGCAGAGCATGTAATAGACAAAGACCATATTATGGATTTTGATAATAGTAAAATTTTATGTAATGAAAGTAATAAATTTAAAAGAACTTTTTTGGAAATGGTTTGTATTAGCAAAAGTGATAATAATTTAAACAAAAGGTCAGAAATTCAAAATTTAAGCAAAATTTATAATTATATAATTTCTATTTAATTTATGCAGTCAGTAAAATATCACATTTTGAATTTTCCATGTATTTATTTTTTACATTTTTTCGGGCATCTATCAATGGTGAATAAATCTTCTTCTTTTTTGTTACTTAACAAAGAAGAATTTTTTAAACAAAATTTTATTTTTGACAATATGTCAAAAATAAAAATTTTTAAGTTAGTATTTATGTCATTTTAGGCTGGTTGTAGCTATTCTATTTTTGTTTATAAATTCAATTTTTTCTTAAGAAACTTCATCTAAATTTTTCAGAGAAACATTTATTAGAATAAGGCATTTTTTTATTAATATTTTTTGTATTTATTATGTAAGCAGTAGTTTTATATAATAAACTAATTTTATTTGGTAAGTTAACAAAAAATTTTTTATTTCTAGTTCAACTTTGTAAGACATTTTGTATTTTTTAGAAGCTCTTGATAAAAATTGTAATCACAATTGAAAGCTCGAGTAAAAAATAGTCAACAAATAGCCCCTTTTATTGACTCCAACCCATCAAAAACAGTGTTATATATATATATATATATATATATATATATATATATATATATATATATATATATAAGCAATACTTTTCGCCTGTATTTAAAAACTCATATTGTGCCCAAAAGAGAGAGTCTACAGTTTGCTTTTTTGATATTTAATTTATTTTTGAGTAATTTTTTTTCATTTTAATAAAATGTTGGCAACTGTTATTAAAATAGGTAAATGTTTGAAACAAGTGTGTCTGAGAACACAGACTGTTATTTTTTTGCAATATCTGAAGAACTGAAAGTGACATCTATCATAAACATTGAGACCAGCCCGATTTAAACGTGTAAACACCAGGATATAATATTACTAATTCTAGATCACCTGTAACTTTGTGACTTTTATTTGAGAAAAAACTTTATCCCAATCATAAATTTTTGGTGCTTGATAAATTGACAAAACATTAATTAAATTTTTTTCATAATTCACTGTGCATCCGCAAATTAGAATTTCATAAAATTGCTAACGATATTTATTTCTTAAAAACTAAAAGTATTTTTAACTAGAATGACTACTTCATTATAGCGATCTTTTCAGATAAGATTATAACCTTTAAAGCTGATACTACATTTTTTTAAACCAAGATTTACTCAGCAAAACAATATCTACATTCTCTTCCTGATAAAAATTTAATCAAGGAATTTTAATTAGATATTACAGAACATGCATTTCATTGCATAATCCTCAAGAAAGTTATTTATTTGTAAAAGTATCCTCCAATACTAGATTAATACCATGCTACCATGCCAGAGTTTCGTTATTTATATTCATTTTTTATATCATCAAGAGTTTGTATTTCATTAAAAAAATTATCAAAAGTTATTTTTAATAAATTCGATATCAATGGTAGTTGTGTTATGTGAATTGGTTAACAATGAGTTAGGTAGATGGACCAAATTGAAAGGAGAATAATGGAGGTTAAATCGGAAAGAGCGTAGCAAGAGATTCTGTCCACTGGTTTTACAATGTATGCAGTATTTATCTTTTATTTTATTTCTGTCCATTTTATTTATTTCTGTCCATTTTAATATTACTAATATGAATTTCATTTTAAACTGTATTGATCTCATCGTTTATCAAAAATAGACCCGCACAAGTTCTAGGATCACTGCAATCTCCCATTAGAGGAGTCTTTTAAAAAAACTGTGTACCTTTAAATATATATTTTTATTTACAAACACCTAACTAAAATCACAGGTAAGCCGAAAAACCGGATAGTTCTATTTACAAAAAATTACGAAAAAAATTAACGTCCTAATTCTACGAAGTTCCAATCAGTACTGTATATAGGACTGTTTTAAAAATGATTCCCGGTTTGGTAATTGATAAATTAAAACTAATGTAAAATATTATTTTCATCACAATCATATACAATCTCATGCTAAAAAATATGGAGTTTTACTGTAGTATTATATCTTTATTTTTTTTAATCTAAAAATTTTAACTTCAAAAACCTTTCAATGGAATTCTTTATAAACAAATAGTGCTCATTATTATGCTTTATGATATCTACATTTTACCTATAAAAGCGAAAACATGGCAATAAAATTATATTTTTGCAGTTTGTAAAATGTTTTTAAAACGTTACACGCTATTATATCATAATCATAATTTTATTTATAAATGTTTGTTGTTTTCAGAATCTACTGACGTCAAACCGGCATCTGCAAAAACCATCACCCTCCATTCGAACGGCTCCGCCACAGTTCCAACAGCGACCACCCCTGACACAAGTAAGGAAGACTCGAAACAATCGACCGTAGATAACAGCGTCAGTGCCGCCGACGAGCAGTCCGCCGACCAAACAGACCAGGAAGACCAAAAGGAAGAAGAGAAAGCGGCTACGAGAATCCAGGCCGCGTTCCGAGGACACCAGTCGAGAAAAAGCATGAAACAACCGGCGGGCAAAGTGGAATCGGCCGAGGCCAACAACACAAACTCAAACGAGCCCACTAGGGAAGAGCTGGAAGCGGAATTTCGGTTGGACGATGCTGGTAAGTGGAAACTTTAAGAATTTATGAAGGACAAACCTACAAGATGCGCTATTATACATTATGTATACTACAGATACGACAAATCTGACTAAAGACGTAGTTTTAATTATGTTTTTATTAAGAAGCAAGTTGAGGAGTGTGATTTAGTCGTCTTAAACTTAATAATAGAGTTTTCTTGAGTAGAATTAACTAATAGTTTAGAATGGTAAACTCGATATGAGATAGATAAATTATTACTAACATTTTTTTAACCAACACAAATTTTGTATAGTATATGAAGTCATAATAGAGTTGCATGTTTTTTTATTACCTGTTATACTTTAGAGAAACATGATACATGATTCATTATCTTGTTTTTCTTTTAAGTAACCAAACGTTAAACGTTATTTATATAAAGATACAGATAAAGTCGGGTCCATCGATATTTCGTCCGTATATATTATAATATATACCAAATTTTTTGATACAAGTATTAAATTATAAAATATGTAATGTGTATATTATAGTCAAAGAACAAAAAATCTGATTTTGGAAAAACAACCAAGACGTGATTTTTCTTTGTTTTTTAAATGATTAAAAGTGAAATATAAAACAGCAGCTTCTTCTATAGGGCTTTTTAACGCTTCTCATTTGTTTTAGGCACTTGTTATATGTCATACAATTTTACGGCATACGTCTTGGGTATGTATAGTTATTGGTATATACTATATACCAATAACGTATGACGTAGATATATCTATTCAAATATACGACATGACAAGTTCCTGAAACATACATAGACGAAACTGTGGAAAAGTATTTTACATGTAAGAAAATATTGTTTTAAACAAAGTTAGCAAATTAAAATGAAAAACTGAGTTGTTTTAACTTAAAAATTATCATATTAGCCTACCTTGTCTAAAATATTTTTACTGCAGGCGAGCTCTCATCATCGTTACTACTCACCAAAGTCTTGTCCAGTGTTTGAAAATAATTGTCCTAGTCTTTTGTACTCATTTTCTACTTTCACTACATGGTTAACTGCATTTTTCAAGTAGGCACTTATAATCTCTGATAATTCATATCAAATTAAATCGACCACTTTTGCGTCAAATTTTGCAAAACTATTTTTCCTCCGAATTTTAAGATGGTAACCTCAAAACAGTATGGCGATGTTGTATTGCAATAGTGTCCAGTATATATTGTTTCTTATTAAGTTTCTAGTAAGTTTTATTACGAAGCACTTTTATTATAGTTGTCTTCAAAATACAAATCATTATCTGAGAGGAAATCTTTTAGTTCCTGTTTTGAAGACGAAATGTTTCGAATTTTTTTGAGGAGCCTTGAGTGGTAGCTAACATTGTCCATAACTATCACACTGTAGATCACGTAGTTGGAAAATATGGTCTTGGTCAGAGAAACGACAGAGGGGACAGATTGATACAGTACTGTCAAGACAAAGATCTAGTCATAACGAATACTTGGTATAAGTTACCACCCAGGAGGCTTTACACATGGAAGTCGCCTTTAGACGGACATCAGGGCATTATAAGGAACCAACTAGATTATGTGACAATTAATAGAAGGTACAGGAATGCTATTAGTAAGGTATCTGCATTACCTGGAGCAGACATAGGATCCGACCACAATCCCTTAGTAGCAAATATCAAACTGAAGCTCGCTACAGCTAAAAGAAAACACCAGAAGGCATCAGTAAACATTAGAAAACTCAGAAACAATGAAACAAATGAAGCGTACACAGAGGAAATAAACAATAGGTTCTCTAATATGGCAACTGAGAATGATGTTGAAAAGTCATGGACCACCATAAAAGAATCATTTGATGAGTTGAACAACACTTTTCTACTCGAGAGTAAAACAACTACCAAGAATGAGTGGATGACAGAAGAAATATTAGAGATGATGGAACAACGCAGGCAGTGTAAGATCAGGCAGGACGAAGTAGGGTACCGAAATATACACAGTCAAATTCGTAAAGAAATGATAGCGGCGAAGGAGATCTGGATGACTACACTTTGCGCCGAGGCTGAAAGCCTATATAAACTCGGCGACAGCTTCAATCTTCACAAGAAAATTAAGGAAATTGCTGGTGTCTTCAAGAAAAAACAAGTCACTGGTATACATAATGACCAAAATGAATTAATAACGGACCCTAGCGATATACTTAATACTTGGAAAATGTACACAGCCAATTTGTTCAATAATGACAGAACACAAAAACCACCACAACTGGGAGACCATTTGTATGGCCCAAGTATTTTGAAAGCTGAAATTGTACACGCTATCAAACTATTAAAAAGTAACAAAACCCCAGGACCAGATGATATGTACGCAGAAACAATCAAGTTACTTAATGAAGAAAACCTAGACATTATTGTCAAACTCTTTAACGACATCTACGATACGGACCAGATTTCAAAAGATTGGCTTCGATCTACATTTATCGCCCTACCAAAAACACCACGTGCGAACTTCTGCAAGGACCACCGACTAATAAGCCTAATGAGTCACTTTTTGAAACTTTTCCTGAGAATACTTCACACTAGATTGTTTAAGAAATGTGAAGAGGTCAGTGGATGGAGTCAGTTTGGTTTCAAAAATGGACTTGGCACGAGAAGCGATCTTTAGTATGCAAACATTGATACAGAATTATTTAGATCAAAGAAAGGATGTTTTTATCTGTTTCATTGATTACGAAAAAGCATTCGATAATGTAAAACATGAACTGATGATAAAATACCTACAAGAGTTGGGAATGGATGCAAAGGATATAAGAATCATCGCCAATCTGTATTGGAATCAGACAGCAACAGTACGTCTTTAAAATTCCAACGAAACAGAAGATTTCTTAATTAAAAAAGGAGTAAGGCAAGGTTGTATACTGTCCCCAATGCTGTTCAATTTATACGTAGAAAAAGCCTTCGCAGAAGCAGTGGAAGACTCTAATAAGGGTACTAAAGTTAACGGCATATTTATTAATAACATCAGGTATGCCGATGATACAGCCATAGTGGCAGATAACATCGAAGATCTTCAATGCCTTTTAAATGATCTAACTCTTGCAAGTGAAGCTCGGGGTTTGAAAATAAATATCAAGAAGACAAAATCAATGATTATAAGTAGAAATAATTACCCCAACGCAAAGATATATGTCTCTGGAGAAGAAATCGAACAAATCAGGCAATTCAAATACTTGGGATGTTTGCTGAATGAGGGTTGGGACCCCGAGAATGAAATAAAGAGCAGAGTTGAACAAGCCAGAAATGCTTTTTTGAGGCTTCGTAAGTTTCTGACTGATCGCAAATTGGACTTCAACCTCCGATACAAGATGCTTAAGTGTTACGTGTGGCCTGTTCTCCTGTACGGAATGGAAGCATGGACGTTAAAGGCCAGTTCCATTAACAAACTTGAAGTGTTCGAAATGTGGTGCCTGCGTCGAATGCTCAGAATATCATGGACGGACAGGGTCAGATATGAAGAAGTACTCAGAAGAGCGGGCTTACAGGATAGGGAACTTTTTAATTATGTAAAAAGTAAGAAGACTGCATACTTGGGGCGCATTATACGAGGAGAACGATACACTTTTCAGCAACTGATACTCGAAGGGAAGATAGAGGGTAGAAGAGGTCTCGGACGTAAAAAAAATGTCATGGCTGCGCAATATTCGACAATGGACAGGAATCCACAGCTATGAAATGCTTCGCAATGCTGCTAAAAACAGAATTATTTAATCCAGAATATTTAACATCTCACCTGACAAGACGATGTACGGTGGACGCCTACGCAGAAATGCACGGCACCTTAAGAAGAAGAATATCACACTGCCAGGTGTTATATTGGAAAGTAGTGTATTTTTAAAACCACTCTTCGAATGTAATAGAACTCATCATATTCTGATGATAATCTACACTTCTTCTTCTTCTTCGCGTGCCATATCAGAACTATCCGACTTCTTCTTCTCGATCTTCTGCAATATGGAATAATTGTCCTGCATTTGGTATCTGAGTCCATTTACGAATGTTTTTTAATCTACACTACATTTTTATATTTTTTTCCGCAAAATATTAACTCATTTTGCACCCAACCATTTCCAGATCCACAGTGCACAATAATAATCCGAGAACCTTTATTCGGAGATACTCCTTTCAACCGGTACCTAAGCGAACCATCAGGCCAACCTTTACTAGCGATATCATGCGTGTCATACCATGTCTCGTCTAAATAATATATAGTCCGCTGTTGGTCAAGATATTCTTGAAGCTATCCTCTTAATTTCCATAATAGCCACCCGTTTATTAACGATTTTGTATTTGAGTCCAAGTTTTTTCAGCCGTCTACGTAAAATGGTTTTAGGGCAGATTCTGCCTATCGTAACAAGCTTGGTGTATAAAATATCAATTGTTGGTATTACATTTTTTTTTGTATTCCTCGTAAACCAAATTCCTTCAACATTTAGCAGTCAAGATATTAATTTGTTTAGATTCTCCAGCATCCGATCTTGTTTTTCTCCATTTACCACAACTTTTGACAATGTCGCGCATGGTAGAATATAGAACTCCTGTTAGAAAGGCCGCTTTTCTTATAATACTGCCTTTACAACTATTTTCAGGATCATTTTGAAGATTTTTGTAAACGTTCATACAAATTCTCTTAGATTGTTCATTCAAAACAATTCTTTTCTTTAGAAGTCTTAAACACTTTTTTACAGTTGCAATATCAGTGTCATTGTTTTTTATATGACTTACACTTGAGAAGAGTATTGACTACTAAACTTTCTCTAATACTACTTGGATTCTCTTGCTCCCATGCACGAAAAACTGTGGGTGATTTTTGCCGTGGTCGAAACATTTTCTTCATACACAAATAGATAGTTTCAAAAAAAAACAAACAACAAAAAATACTACAAATATTATAAATACTCACAAAAAAATTTTAATACAACTCAAAATTAAAGCAATGCACATCTATCTATGAACAAGCTAGTTGCAAAGATACAACTAAACTAAAAATTTGCAAG